TAAAAAAACCCCAGTAAAATGAGCTTTTAATAAAAAATAAATAAAAATAAAAACAGCACAAAAAAGTCCTCTTTCCAAATAGAATCACATCCTCAAGTTTAGGAATTAGGATTCCAAAACATATTTTGGGGTCTCTCTCCACTCCTCTCAGAAAGAAGAAACAGATAGTTATATGGAGTATGAGGACTGACCACAGGGGTGGCGAGTGAAGGACACATGGGGGTGGAAGATGTTCAGTTTTTGTTGTTGTAAATTTGTTTATTTTTAAAATATCTTAGAAAAACCTTAAGTCATATTATACATTGGAGATGACTTAGGAATAATTTAGGAAAGGAATTCCCACACCCAATCAGAAAATAAAATGCTGGTCTAGATAATGGATAGATAAAAGGATGGTTCGGTTTGGTTCTGAGGACTAGCAGTGTCTGTCCTGTAAAGATTTTTTTCTGCAGGAAAAAGATCAGGCTGTCTGCTCCTGTAAAGATTTACAATTTGAAAACCCAGTGAAGCAGTTCCACTCTGCCCTGTAAGGTCAGTGTGATCTGGAATCCATTGGACAGTAGTGGGGGTCTCGTCGCTCACTTGTATAGGATCATCAGGTTTCTAAGAAATCAGAGTAAGTGTAAAACCAAGACTGCACACACTGAAATGTGAAGTTGTTCAGGCATTATGCATCCTCCAGAGTCCTCCCAGAATTAGAATTATGTTATTAATATCATGCTTATACTAAATTAATGCTCATTTCTCATAAAGCTTGTATCAGTCAGAGTTCCAGCAGGAAACAGATAATGCACTTAATCTAGAATAATTTAAAAAATACTAACTAAAAGAACTATTTAAAATTGCTTAGGAGAATCACAAGACATAGTGCAGTCCCCTGGGTGGTCTCATTTGGGATTTGACACTCCAGACTCAAGAGAGGAGGGAAGAAGTGTTTAGGAACCTGGAAAGAGAGAGCCAATTAGAAAATACTATCTCGAGAACTGTGATTTCTCTATTGAAGAACACAACCATTCAAGGCACATTAATAGGAAGGATCCAAAAAGAATAAATAACCCCAACTTCTTTCCTCCTCCTGCAGTTGGCCAAGCAGAAGTTGGAGGGCAAGAACCCCCACTGGATCCATTCATTGTGAGTATGGGAAAGAACATAGGGAAGTGAAGACAGCACAATAGATGTGGAAGAACAGAGAAAACATTCATCCCAGACCTCTAAAGCAGACCCATCTCTCCTAGAGTCTCCATATACCATTGTGTTAGTCTAGGTAGACTAAAGAAACAAATCCACAGAAACTCATATGTATTTAAGAGAGAGTTTTATATAAAGGGTAGGTGTACATTAAGAAAACATCCCAACTCACTGCTGTACAAGCTGGTAAATCCAACATTAGCACATATATCTGACACCAATCTACAAAGTCCTCCTCAGTTTCACAAAACACACGCAATGATGCCGCTTAAGGAGGAAAAACGAATCAGTGACCATGTAAGCATCTCAGCACTGGCAGGGGTCTCCATGCAGCTGCTCCAGCACACAGGGCTGCATCAGGGTAGGTCCATGTGGCTTCTCCTCAGGGATGTCTCACAGGAAGTGAGCCTTGCCAGCTGAAGCAGGGAACTGGCTAAGGCAGCTGCACCCTGGTCCGACCACCAGATGGCAAAAGACCCGAAAATAAGAAAGGAGAGGCTCACAGAGCCATTTCTCTCTCCGCCTTCAATTAATCTCACATGTGTTTATCAGTCAGGTTGGCACAATAAACCTTAACTATCTCAGCCACTTTAAAATTACCTCAGTCAACCCAGGTTGATTAGGAAACAGACACTGCTAGTCCTCAGAACCAAACCGAACCATCCTTTTATCTATCCATTGCTGTTGTACACTCTCTTCTAGCCCTACCAATCAATGTCTAAAGATACTGATAAAATTTCAGTAAATGCATTTAAGAAACCTTTCACTATTTCTAAGCAAACCTATCTCTTCTTTTTTCTTTCTCGTTTTAACAATTGAAAATGACTTGCCATTCCAGACTACAACTATACACAAATATTTGCCTTTTATTCTACCAAATCCCACTGAAGGAATAGAAGAAATACACACTATTCAAACAAATCTAAAGCAGAGAAGCTAGAACAGCACAGACAGAATATCATCTAGTGATTAATATAAGAAAATAAAGCAAAGAGGAAACTATTAATGGCAGACATCAATAGACCTGAGAGACCTTTAAAATTGGAATCAACAGAAAGTGCACTAGAAACTCTGACTAATCTAAATGAACAACAGCCAGGGCCTGAGGAAGGAACCTTTGGGGGCCCCATCACCACTACCAGCTGCAGGGAAGTCGACCACAAATTCTTGGTGAAAACATGTGTGACAGATAGAACCACATGCCATTAGGTTTATAAAGGCTAAATTTTCACCAGGCCTTTCTTTGTGGACTTGAACTGCCAAACTTTCAGTTAGCAGGGGAGTATATTCAATCTGTTCCACCAAGGGACCCCTTTATGATGCTAACAGCTGGTAATTGGCTTTGGGGATGAAAATTGTCCTTCTGATATGGCAACAGTAAATGTGTTGACAGATACTCAGGTTAAAGAGGTGATATCTGTCCCAGAAGATGAGCAACCAGCACACCTTCCCAGTCACATATCAGGCCACCAGAAGGAGCCCCTGTGGAGGTGGAAGGTAGCAGGACCCACGTGGTTGCAGTTTAGAGGGAACTGTGGGTCCCAGATTCATCAGCCAGCTGATTCCAGAACATATTCCAACCCAGGGAGTCTGGAAGGAAGTCGAGTTAATTAAATGGAAAACATTTTCCCATTAAATAGGTTGCAGGTTCAACAGATGTGGAAAGGATAGCGGGAGTATAACCATGGATATATACTCTTTTATAAATATATAAATATTCTTATATAAATAAAAGTATAACCATGAATATATAAATATATATATACGTGTGTGTACAAGTGTATTTGCCTTTGCCACCACTACTCTGCCAGTTTATTGTACTTCGGTGGCTTGCAGGATGCTGTGATGCTGGAAGCTTTGCCACCAATATTTGTTTTTTAATCATTTTATTGGGGGCTCATACAATTCTTTTTTTTTTTTAAGGGGGACTCATACAATTCTTATCACAATCCATCCACTGGGTCAATCACATTTGTACATTTGTTGCCATCATCATTCTCAAAACATTTGCTTTCTACTTGAGCCCTTAATATCAGCTCCTCGTTTTTCCCCCTCCCTCCCCGCTTCCTCCTCCCTCATGAACCCTTGAAAATTTATAAATTATTATTATTTTGTCATATGTTACACTATCTGATGTCTCTCTTGACACGCTTTTCTGTTGTCCATCT